TTTACCAATAAAGTTTGTTGGGGCGCCTGGGTCTGGAGGACCCTGATGTTCGGGTGAGGAGCTAAGTATAATGTTAGCTGTTGGTTTTTTATAGATGCCCTTTATTAGGTTGAGGATTTTCCCTTCTATTCCAAGCGTGTTGAATGTTTTATCATGAGAGTGTTGGATTTTGTCAAATGATTTTTCTACATCTTTTGAGATGATCGTGTGTTTTTTTGTTTTTTATTCTATTGGTATGATATATTACATAAATTGATTTTCAGATGTTAAACTGATCTTGCATTCCTGAAATAAATCCCACTTCGTCATGGTGTAAATTTATTTTTATATGTTGCTGGGTTTGGTTTGCTAGTATTTTATGGAGGATTTTTGTGTACACATTCAAAATGATCTGTAGGCTGGCCTGTTATCTCAGTTGGTTAGACCGTAGCGTTATAACATAATGATCTGTAGTTTTCTTTTCTGGTGATGCCTCTGTCTGGATTTGGTATCAGGGTAATGCTGCCCTCATGAAAGGAGCTGGAATGCGTTCCCTACTATTCTGTTTTTTAGAAGTGCTTGTAAATAATTGGTATCAACTCTTCTTTAAAATGATTTGGTAGAATTCAGCAATGAAGTCATTTGGGCCAGGGGTTTTCTTTGTGGGTAGTTTTTAAGTTACTAATTCAATTTCTTAACTTGGTTACTAATTCAATTATTAATCTCTTTACTTGATTCTAATTCAATCTCTTTACTTGTTATAGGTCTGTTCAGATTATCTATTTCTTCTTGAGTCTGTTTTGGTAATTTGTGTCTTTCTAGGGATCTGTCCATTTCACCTAAGTTGTCTACTCTGTCATACAACTGTTCATAGTATTCCTTTATAATCTGCTTTACTTCTATAATGTTGGTATTAATGTCCCCTCTTTGATTTCTAATTCCATTAATTTGAGTCTCCTTTCTTTTTTTCTTGCTGCTGTCTTTCCCCTCCCTGGGAAGACAGCCCACTGACAGGGTGCTGGGAGGGGGAGGGAGCCCTAAGTTCTTGGCTGCCCAAGTCTGGAGTGGAGTTTCCATCTCTCTGAGTTGGAAGGGATAGGCAGAGAGAGGTCTTGGTTCGAATACCAATATGGAAGCTCATGTGTTTCAGTATAAGGAAATTTAGGTTTATAATTTCTTTCTCTTCTTTTTTAAAAAGTAGTCTCTTTCTGAACTCCTACAACTTAGATGTTGAGCTTCCTGAAAAATATCCTCAATTTTATCCTTTCTTTTTTATTTTCCAACTCTGTCCTTTTTGTTAAACTTTTGGGCATTTTTCCTTATCTTTCTCTTTCAAATTTTCTGTTGAATCTTGTTCTCTGTCTACATGTTGGAGGCATTCCTCAAATGTTTATAAATCTTGGCTATCTATCTATTTATTTATTTATTTTTTCCTTTTTGTCTTTTTTTCATGTCCGGCAACGGATTGCAACCCTCAGTGTCGCGCCCGTACCGGACCGAACCGGCAACGGGATCGCAACCCTCGGTGTTGCGCCCACACCTCGCTCAGCCAGTGAGCGGGAACCGGTCTATATGTGGGATCCAAACCCTCGGTGGGAGCGCCGCCGCGCTCCCAAGCAGCGCACTGTAGCAGTGCGCCACCGGGCCGGCCCTTGGCTATCTATTTATTAAAAGTCAGGCTCTGAAATGCTGACTAGAAGCCCCATATGCAGGTTGGGAGTCGGGGGAAACTTGGCGACTGGTAGGCCTCATTATAAAACAATTGGGCAGAGCTAGACCTTGGGTAAACTCTAATTGGCAGCATCTGTACTTCTTTTCTCTTGAACTGGACAGTTTCCAAGTGGAATCTGAATCTCATATACAGGAAGTAGTGTGACTGTCAGAGTTCTGGAAGTCTAGAAAGAAAGGGGGGTGGGATGGGAGGCATGTTCATCATTCCATACACAGACTTTAACTTAATCTCCTTTTCCTTGGTATGGTGCTCACCTTTGCCCTCAGTTGTGCTTAACATCCTTGAATCTAGAGATCTCCTAGTCCTACCACTATAGAGAATAATCTTCTAGTCTCTCACTGGGTAAGAGAATGTCAGTCTCTTGGCTCTGGGGGTGGAGGACAGTATTATAATAATAATACCTAACATTTATTAAAAGGTTACTCTGTGCAAAGCAGTATTCTAAGAAGTTTACAGGAATTAACCCATTGAATCCACACAACACATCATTGAGGGAGGTTCTGTTATGATATCCATTTTACAGGTGAGGAAACTGCAGAAGTTGATTAAATAACTTATGTAAGGTTTACCATTTTTGAGTGGCAGAACTCAGATTCAAATATAGGCAGTTTGGCTCGAGGTTGTCTTTTGATTAACTGCTACACTATACTACCTCTCCAGGTCTTAGAGCAAGGGATGAGGGATCTGACTGCTCTCATTTCTTCTTAACCAGTCCTTGCTTTTGGCCTCAACTCAGCTATTACTTTGAGAGAAACCTGGTGTTTCTAATTCCTGAGTTTTACTGGACTTCTACAATCAAAGTGTTGGTCCTTTAACCTCACAGGTATAGCTTTCTGTACTTTGCTAGGTCAATTACCCTTGTCCTGTGGCTTTCTAGCTTCCAAAATTTTATTGACATCTGTTGTCACCTCCCCTTTTGGTTCTTGTGAGTTTATTATGCCTTTTCTATTCCTTTATCATCATTTTACTGAGGTTTAAAAAAAAAGTGGGCTTTTTTCACTTCTAAAAGTTGTGTTCTTATTCTTACTTTCATTCATTCTACTATACTTTCCTTGGGTGATCTTGTCCTCTCTCAGGGTTTCAATTATTGTAGTGTAGCTAACAAATTTCCCAAATTTTATCTTTAGGCCAGTATTCTCTCCTGAACTTCAGCTCTATATATCCAAGTGCCTACTAGACAACTACACTTGAATGATCCATAGGCAAGTCAAGTTTAACAGATTTATAGGCTCAAACTTCAACTTGTTATCTTTAAATACTTGCCTTACACCTGCTTGAGGATTTCTATTTTAATCATCTGATCCATGGAGTCACTAGAGCAAAAACTCAAGGAATCATTTTTTACTCTGCCTTCTTTCCACAACTAGTAAGCCATCTAATCCTGTCATTTCAACTTGTAAAGTCTTACCTGTCAACCTTCACTAGGGGGTAAAAAACCTCCTACATGCTTTCCCATCTCTCCTATACAGTTGATTTTCCATACTGTTGCCAGACTAATCTCTCTGCTCTTCTGCTTGAAATATTTGTTTATTCAGTTTCTATAATATGAAGTCCAAGCTCCTTAACCTAATATTCAAAGTCCTTCAAAGTCTGGCTTTCAGGGCCGAGCCCGTGGCGCACTCGGGAGAGTGCGGCGCTGGGAGCGCAGCAGCACTCCTGCCGTGGGTTCAGATCCTATATAAGGATGACCGGTGTGCTCACAGTGCTCACTGGCTGAGCATGGTGCGGCCGGTCTCAAAAAGGACAAAAAAAAAAAAAAAAAAAAGTCTGGCTTTCACTTACAATTTCTGTTATACCTCTACTCACTGTACCTATTCTATCATTAATATACCAAATGATTTTGTAGTCTTGCCATTGCCCTAGAAGAAGTCTAAACTTTAACCAAACCAAACCAAACAGAGTTGTTGAAACACATGTTCTCTCACACCTCTATAACTCAGCACATATGCTTTTAACCACTGTGCCCTACTATCTTTCCAAGACAGGAATATGGACAGTATATTATTCAAGAGACAATAAATAGATGTCTGGTTTGAGGGCACATATTAGCAATAATATTAACAATAGCAGCTACCAATAATAGAACTACTATGTGTTAAGCACAGTGTTATTAGCTCCTTTATGTACATCATTTCTAATCCTCACAATAATTTTGCAAAGTTAGGCATAATTCCAATTTTACTGATGCCTGAAGTTCAGAGATACCTGCTTATGGCCACGAAGCTAATAAAAGACAAACCTCAAATTTCAACTTGTGTTTAAAATCCATGCTCTTTTCCTCATATTGTGCTAATACTGGTGTTGGGGAAAGAGTTGGGAGATAAGAATGAAGAGGGGGATTGGGCAACATTCTTTAAGTGAAGCCAAGAATAACAGGCTAAAGATTGAATTTTTATTTAGTAGGTAGGCAATGAGTAGTAGTTTAAGGAACAGGGAAGCACTTGGTTAGTCAAAGGAATTGTTGCTTTAGGAAGATGAGTCTATTAACAATGTATACAATGAATTGGAGGAGGAGAGGGAAGAAAGCTTGTTAAGAGCACTTACCTGCCTAATAGCAGCTGTATAGCTCTGGTATCAGCTTTTGTATCATCTTTCCAAAATGTATTCTCAGTTGGAGGGAGGAGGTGATCTTCAATGTGGTCTTTAAATTGATTGCTAGGAAAGGCTCTGATTCTAAGGTGTGGAAAAATAGTTTCTTATGAGTAGCTAATAGATGGGAAAAATCTAAGTTGTAATTAATTGAGCTACGAGATTGTACATGGAGTTGGTCCGACTCAGAAAATTTAACATACTTTAGATGTAGCTGCCTTAAATATATACAAAACTTTACACTTTGCAAAGCTCTTTCCTACATTAGAATCCCATTTCATTTCTGTAAGGTAGGGAGAGAATATCCCCATTTTACATACAAGCATATCAGTTCAGAAAGAGCAAAGAACTTACTCATTTACATATTCAGCAAGTGCCAATGCTAGGACTAAATTTTGAGTATCCTACCTCCTAGTTTAGGCTTCTTTCCTGCCACATTATCATTTACTGAAGTTTACCAAATGTGACCACAGGCACATTTTATTAACTCTCTGAGCTTGATTCCTCATTTTTAAATTGAGGATAATAATTATATTTACATAATACATTGATGTAAAGATTGAAAGACATAATGAAATTTGAAAAAAATCGAAAAACAAAAACCAAACATTTGCTGAGCACTTCCAAGATTACCCAGTCCATAACTTCATAAAAAAACACACAACTATTTTTAAAAATGAACTATTGGGGTTCAGGTCTGTCCTGCAACTTACTGTGGTGATGCTCTAAGAGAATCTTCCTTCACAGAAGGATGAACTTTTTCCAACAACATGCTAGTATTTGGGCTTGATTTCATTGCAGAAATCACCATGGCATTACGCAGTTTATTGCCTTGTTCTAACAGAGCTGAAGAGGGCAAAAGCAGAAAACAAAAAGTCTAAAATCCAGCACAAACATTTGCAATATTCAATGCATTTCCTTCTTTCATAAGACTTAGCACAGTGTATTGTAATGGTTTACTTATCTGCCTTTCCCACTAGCTTGAGAATTCCTTGAGGATATCCACTTAACAAAAGATGTTTACTGAGTTTCTACTACACTGTTTTAGATGTTTGGCAGTACAGCAATGATGAAGTGTCTATTCCAGAGAGACTGACCTCCTTTTGGGAGTCATTATATCCATGCAGTGACTCTTTCAACTGGTTTTAGTTCACAGTAAGGTTAGTAATGTCTATATATTATTTTTGTATCCAGATACCTTACTGAATTCTCTGGTCATTTGTAAGAGTTTTTATATCATTCTTACCCAAGGAACACTATGCCAGCTAAACCTTTAGGAGCCATAGTGATAACCTATTCCAAATTTATATTTTTATAGATGAAGAAAAGAATGCCAAAAAACTTCCATGACTTGTCCAAGATCATATGGCATGTTAATGGAAAAGTCAGGATGAAACCCAAGTCTTCAGACTTTCTGATAGGTAAAATTTACCCCATTCCTCAAGTGACAACAACAGCAACAATAATTATAGCAACTAACATTTACTGAACCCTTACAATGTGCCAGGCACTAATCTACATATCTTACATGTATTAACTCATTTAATCCTCCCAACACTCCTATGAGATATGGACTGCTATTTCTTTTATTTTCCAGATGAAAAAATTGAGGCAGAGAGGATAAGTAACCTGCCCAAGTTGTACATACAATACATGTATAACCAGAATGACTCCACATCCTATGCTTTTAACCAGTATACTATACATGACACCACTTAAGTTCTTAGGCTTCCTTTTAAAAGCTGAGAACCAATGGTAGTACTCTAAGGAACATGAGAAGTATCACTATTTTCTTAAGGTTCCACAGCTACTTGGAAAGTAAGTGCAACCACCCTGTACCAGCCAGCCACCAGGAAAAAAAAGGAAACATTAAAGGAAAGTAAGTGTGTCTAGAAACAAGTTGCCCACCTCCTAGTCTAGAGTTTTATAGCTTCTGAAAAAAAAACCCACAAAAAACTGTGGTAGTCATCTCAAGGACAATCAAAAAAATAAGCCAAACAGATCCATAAACATCTAACATTTGTTACTATCAAGAGGTGTCAAAATATAGCTTAAAAACTTAATTAAAAAAAAAATCCCAAACCTTAAATACCATATGTTCAATATGTGATGTAAGAATACAAGTATACTAAATGAAAATAAAGATCACCCATTGTGGTAGGCAGAATTCTAAGAATAGTCTTCCCAAGATTCCCAGTCCCTAGTGATTCACTCAATCATTTGGTATTGCTGCGAAGGGATTTTGCAGATATAATGAAGGTTCCAAATGAGTAAACCTTAAGAAGGGAGATTATCTTGGTAGGCTGGATCAAATCACATTAACCTTTTAAAGCAGAGTTTTCTCTAACTGATTGAAAGATATGAAATCAGGCATGTGAAGCATAAGAATAATTAATGTGTCATTGCTGTCTTAAAGAGGGAGGGGGCAAGAAATGCAGGTAGACTTTAGAAGCTGACAGCAGCTCCTGGATGGAAGCTAGTAAGAAAACGAGAACTTAGTTCTCTAACTTCAAGGAACTGAATTATGTCAGCAACAGGAATAACCCTGGGAGTAAATTTTTCTCCAGGTCCTCCAGATGAGAATTTAGCCTGGCTAACATCTTGATTTTAGCCTGTGATACTCTAAGTAGAAAACCCAATAATGCCATTCTGGACTTCTGACTTACAGAACCGTGAGCTAATAAATGGGTGGTGTTTTTTTTTTTTTTTTGTCTTTTGTCTTTTTCCGTGTCCGGCAACGGATCGCAACCCTTAGTGTTGCCCCTGTACCGGACCGGGGACCGGCAACGGGATCGCAACCCTCGGTGTTGCTCCCGCGCCTCGCTCAGCCAGTGAGCGGGAACAGGTCTGTATGTGGGATCCGAACCCTCGGGCGGGAGCGCCGCCGCGCTTCCCAAGCGGCGCACTATCCAGTGCACCACCGGGCCGGCCCTAAATGGGTGTTGTTTTAAGCTGCTCAAGTTTCTGGTGTTTGTTATGCAGCAACAGAAAACTACCCAGGAATAATGATTGTTAATATTTTGATGTCTTATAGTTACTACCATAATGCTACTACCACGGAATATTGATTGTTAACATTTCAATATATCATATAGTTTTTTTGCCTATATATACATATGCCTGTATGTATGCATATATATTTTTCTTTTGCAAAAATGACATATTTTTGCAAAAGTATATACTGTTTTGTAACTTTTTTTACTTAAGACGGATTAACATTTTTCTAAGTAATGGCTACACAGCATTCTATTCAGAATTCATTGTATTTATTTTTGTTTTTATTAAATGAAAAAAATCTCTTTGGGATTCAGCTAGAAAATGGCTGTCTTATTTATTCACCGAGAAAGAGTGAGGAAAATATGATATGCTAGTATTGGAAATTTGGCTGAAATCTAAAAATCTTCCAGAAAAATAAGCTTGGTATGTGACAGAAAACTCTTCTTTTAGTTTCTCATTGGCACTTGGAATTATTTGATATAGTTTAAATTTCTTTAATGAGGTGGGCACACTCAATAAACACTTTATGAATGAAGAGGTTAATGACAAGCAGTGTCAATAAGACTACATTTGATTTTAGGGCTATGTGAAAAAATAATTTTCCTGCTCATACCCAAAATGTTCTTAGAGAGGTAACAGCCTTATAACTACTATCAAACCATACCCAACTATTTTCAATTCCTAAAGCAAAATACTTCCTCTGTGCTTTCAAACCTCCTGGTATTTAACTCTATCAAAGAATTTATCATGCAGTTTTGTAACTATATATCTCAAGCAACTTCAAGTCCAGGGATTGGCTCCTGTTGGTCTTTTATCCTTGGTATCTGGTACAGTGCCTGGCATGTATCAGGCATTTGATAAAATGTTTCAATGCATACTTCCACTGTTATATATATCATGCATATTTGTAATATATCTACTTTTGAGTCTGTCTCCTTTACTAGCCTAAATTCCTTGAAGGCGGGGACTGTAATTTATTTATCACTGTAACCCCAAAACTCAGAACAATGACTGACACAAGACAGGCACTTAAGATACCTGTTGAATTGAATTGGGCTTAGTTTTCATCCCTATTAAATAAAAACTCCTCTCGGAATGGTAATATTTAAAGAATGACTTAGTTATTTACATCTGATTGAGCATGGGTATTTAAGACATTTTCCAAAGCAAATTTTAAAAAGAAAATAAACATTAAGGAAGACAAGTGAGAGAAATATGAGCACAAGTAGTCTATTCATTGGCTTCTAAGTGGTTTCACTGTTGAAACAGCCATTGTCAGGAAAAGCTTCTCTAAAGTCTAAGGCATGGCAAGAAGAACAACTTTTTAAGGAGAAGCTGGTATCCTACACTGTGAGAGCTGTCATGCATCTTCACGCACCTCAACTCAATAACCATATTCTGAACACACCTAAAAGGCACTCAGGTGAGCAGGATGTTTCTCTTGTTTATTTCCTATGTGCCATGGGTACACCCCATGCTAAACAGAGGGATAGTATACAGCTTCTAGTATTTGTTCCAATTCCCTGCTATTTATTTTAAAGCCCAACTCTTCCAAGCAGGATGTGTAGTTAGTGTTTCATAAATACTAGCTGGCTGACAATTCAGCTTTGTACTCCCCTTTTTCGTATGATGTCAGTACAATAAAGACGAAGAAAATCACTATGTTTATGTATTTGTTGTGTCCCTCCCATGACCTACTAAATCTTAGTACCCATTTAATCTTACTCCCCCAGAATCCTATGGTTGGAAAAGACTTTTAAAGATCATATCCAACTATCTACTTGATTTAATCCAATCCGCAAGAGTCCCAACAGAAGGTTACCTAGCCCATGTTTGGCTATTTACAGTGATGTAGAATTCACTACCTCTTGAAGTAGTCCTCTCCCATTTTTGCACAGGTCAGACTATTAACTTAGACTGAGCCATAATCTATTTTGTTTTAACTTTAAATACACTGGTCCTACTATTTCTTATGGAAGAGGTTGAACACTGGCAGCCCATGGGTTGTATTTTGTTTGACTTGAACAGTTGGTCAGCACAGTCTTTATTAAAAAAAAAAAAAGAAAAACAGGCCTAGGTAAACAACAAACCTATAGTAGAATGAAGGAGAGGACTTTGCAATCAATATTAACTGGAGCTGAAAAACAGCTGCCCCCTTTTGACAGGGCAGGAGCTCCCTAACTCTGAGCCTGGGTCTTCATTTTAAAATGGTGATAACAATCCCTACCTCACCAGGTTTTTATAAGATTATATATATAAAGCACTTGGCATAGTAGCTAGCACATAATTAATGCTCAATAAATGGTAGCTATTTTCTCCAGGCTAAATATCTCTTGGTGGTCCTTTTACTAGCCTAGCTACTCTCCCTAGAAGAACTCATCTTCTTTAGATCTTTAATGTTACCCTCTTAATGAGGCCTTTCTTTGTCAATCTATGTAAAACTAACATCCCCTCCTCTCACCTTCCTTGCCTCTTTTTTCCCATTGTTATCATCACCATGTAACACTACATATTTATTTATCTAGTTTATTTTTTACTTATTTATTTATTTTATTTATTTATTTAATTTTTTTTTTTGTCTTTTTCCGTGTCCGGCAACGGATCGATGTAACACTACATATTTATTTATCTAGTTTATTTTCTACTTATTTATTTATTTTATTTATTTATTTAATTTTTTTTTTTGTCTTTTTCCGTGTCCGGCAACGGATCGCAACCCTCAGTGTTGCCCCCGTACCGGACCGGGGACCGGCAACGGGATCGCAACCCTCGGCGTTGCCCCCGCGCCTCGCTCAGCCAGCGAGCGGGAACCGGTCTGTATGTGGGATCCGAACCCTTGGCGGGAGCGCAACCGCGCTTCCCAGGCGGCGCATTAGCGCATGCGCCACCAGGCCGGCCCTATTTATCTAGTTTATAATTTGTCTTCCCATCTAGACTATAAGATCCATAAAGCAAGAGTTTGTGTATTTTTTTAAAAAATTAATTTAAACTGCTGTATCTCTGACACCTCGTGCCAGACATTTGATAGGTGTTGAATAAATAACTGCTTAATGAATAAACAAATGCTTTCTCAAAGTCTGATGCCCAGGTCTACACAAAATATTCCATGTGTGAGTTGACAAGTGCTGAGTATAGTGGGACAATTTTCTTTCTTGTTAATGTAGTCTTTGCATTAAAGACTAAAATAAATAATTATAATCTTGGAGAATATTTTTAAAAATAGGGAATCATAAGACATTTCAGTTGAAAAAATATGAACAGAATGTTTTTGTCCCTATTAATGTAAATTATGTACCGAAATAGTTATTAAAAAGACTTCCTACTAATGCTATAGATATTCTACTTTGGAAATTTTACTGTGGAGATGGAGACAAATTCCTGTCATGCTCTTGATGTCACAGAGATATGTGGTTGACCATTACAGTGCAATGTAAGTCAATTGTTTTTATTATTCCACCCTCTATCATGAGGTAATCTAATTCTGTTCCTATTTGCTTTTTTATTACAGTCTAAGCCCTTACATGGTTAAACTGTTTCCTTTCTACTTCTCTTTGGCTTCAAGTCATATTTACTTCTCAGGCTTAGGATCAACAGTTGCAGTGCACTGAATATTTCCACAGGGAGTAACAGTTTTCAGAATGTGAAATGGATTTAGTACTAGTCTCTGCACAACGGTATATATAAATGCTGATGATGAGACAAAAATCTTATCTGCCTTGAATTATTTGGGAAAAAATAAGGACTGATATTTTTATATGATAAAGGCTTTCCCCTCACATCCAGGTTCCTTTTAAATGGTTCCTTCTTCAAACGTACCATTATAAAAACCTAGTAATTATTTAGAAGTTACTTGGTGGTTTAATAGAGCTGTCTTTAAATGGTGAGAGATTCTGGACTCTAGCAAGACTACTCACTTTTATTTGGCTATTTAGTGCAAATAAAAGTCTTCGTTTGCTTTGTAAGCTGGCTAAGAAGCAGAGCAATCCCAATAAATATAGGTTAGTCTCAGTTCATAAATATATCCATACCTGAAAGAAGGTCCTTGGTAGGGGGGATGTTTGAAGAAAGAATGCATGAGTCACTATGACTCTTGGCAACTGTTCTAATTTGAGGCTGAAATTCAGAGCTGTTGAGAAGAGACATCTGCTTCTGTGGAGCTTTGCCTCTCAGAGTTACAGACTCTAAACTCTGTCTGGGATTAAGATGGTGCTGGAGCCTGAAGAAAGAGTCTTTTATTATATCAGGATTCTCTGCAAAGTACAAGTGGTCCTTTCCCCTGTTTTAAAAAAAAGAACGTCAGCAGTATATAATTCATCATGGTAACATTCTACTTTGTCAGAGACAGAAAGTAGATTAGTGGCTTATAGCAATGTAGTATGGACTCTGAAAGAGGTGACTTATTTGCAATGTGACTTTGTAAATCTGTTTTTCATCTCCCAAATGAAATAATAGGTGTTTTACCTAAAGTGTAGGGCTATAGCTTAAGTGAGACAATGAAATAAAGAGCTCAGCACAGAACCTGACACAAAGCAAAAGCTCCATAAGTAATTACTTAAAACAACAATCTGTTTCTCTTATTTCATTCTGTTTTGTAAAGTAATGCCCTTTCCATCTTTTCCCTCATAGACATCTATCAAGGCATCTGTATACCATTTAGTCAAACTTATTTATTTGTATGTTGGCCTCTCCACTAGATTGTGAGCAGTCCTTCAAAATGGGGATTGTCATTAACTTCTATGCCCAGCACCTGGTATGGAACCTGGCGCGTAGTGGGTTCTTAGTAGTTATCTGCTGAATGTGTGTTTGCACTTTTCTCTGTCCTTAGTCTTTAACTCAACCACAAATGAAAGACAGAAACCATGAATACAGTGGGAGTTAGCTGACAGACTGACAGGTATTAAGTGGGGTAATTACCTTGGAGTGGTTGATCTACTACTATTGGCTGCTATCTCTTTTCCATCAATTTTGCTGGTAGGTATCCCATGAGGCCTTGATGGAACCAGAAATTGGGTATCGCTAGGTTCAGTATTCTCTCTGAATCCCTGCTCAGATAAAAGCACATTTTCTGTCATGTCAGTGGTAAGATGAGGATTGTAACTGTTGTAAGTATCTGACAGAGGCTCCAGGGCAAGTGAGACCTGAAAGAGATATATAATATATCAGAAATTTTCTTTAGCATTAATTAACTAATTTTAACATTCCCCAGCTTAATATAAATTAATGTCCCCAATTCCTTACAGAATTAAGTCTAAAGTCCTGCCTACCTCAGGAGCCTCAACTCTCACTATGCTCCCCTCCCCCTCATTCCTTTGTCCTAGATATAACAAATACATAGGGTTCTCTAAATGTACCATATATTTCATTGCTTTATGACCCTGTGTATACAATTTCCTCCAGCATTACTTCTTTATGACCAGGTAGAGATGTCATATCCACTGCTTTCTTCATGTTTCTACTTACTCTGTATCTACGCATCAATATAACCATCATTTATTTAACACTTCACAAAGGCCCGGAACTGTGGTAAATTCGTCACACAGAGAAGCTTCTGTGATGGTATAACCCTGTCAGGAAAGTATATTATCCTAATTTGAACATTTTAAAAAAAAAAGCAGAGGATTAGAGAAGTATTTGTAACTTTTAGTTTATTTATCATCCTGATTAGATTATGAATTCCTTGCAGGTGTGAACTGCTTTCCTCATTTTTCTATGGGCTAATTAGCATAGTAACTGTACACATAGTACACAAGTTCTAATATGCCTAATAATGCCTACTGGTCTGATGAATAAAGAATGACACAACACCTTCTGCATTCTTATTGATAGTTGCTTGGGAAAAATAAGGCCCTAGCTCTATGCTGGAGATGAAACAGGATGAGCAGGGAGGACCACTAAAATGAAAAAGTAATTAAGTTTCCTTAACATCTCATTCCTGTGAGTTCTAGTTCTCTATTCATAGGCTCTCCAGTTCTCTGAAAAACTCAGTGGAGAAGAGCCTACTAGAGGAATAAACAATAAAATATAAAGCCTGAAACAAAACCTTGAAGAAAAAATTAGCACTGTTGAAAGTTCAGTTTCAATGACAGAGAAAACAGAAGGAATTGTTTAAGCTGCCCAAGACAGTCAAATAATGATGAATGGCTTAACAGAAAAGTGAAAAATTGCAGTTAGATATTTTAAGGTGTCTCTGGGAAGGTCAATGGAATATTTTTATGCAGAGAAACTGCCAAGGCACAAACTCAATAAAATATGCCTGGGTATTGATGAGGAAAACTCTGTTCACAAACCAGAACATAAAATCCTTCAAATCTATTCATTATTCAAGATTCTTCTACAAAGGCAAATGATAGGAATGCAGTGGGATGAATACTCCGTGCAATGATCACTGTAATAGGGTCACATAAAATCCTGGCTGCCCAAATGTAAATGTCAGGAAGTGTTCCCTTACCATTCATCACCTGCCAAAGACTGCCACTGCAATCTGGAAACAAAGGAGGCACTAGGAATAAAGGCCGTGTCCCTGGCCTTTAATAATGACCAGCTGCTAAGTGAGCACTCAGTTTTGTTTTTGCCCTAAGCATATCTGAACCAATAACAAAACGACTCATAAGCCTATGCTACCACTGGCCCTTGAAGAAAGGGTCAGAGAAAGCCAGGCACTTGCCACAAAACACAGGGGCTGGCCTAACTCCTCTGTTCAGTTAAACAAATATTTGTTGACACCAGCTCTGTACCAGGCTCTGTGCTACCTACCTGAGGCAAAGAGATGACTAAAAGATTGACCCTGACTTAGAGGATCACAGTATTTTGTAGAGAAACTTAAAAAAAGTAATCTTAACATAAAATCGTGAGTTCCAAGATAAGGATGTTTTCTAGGTGCTATGGGAACACTAGGAGGGGTCTGAGGTTTGGAATAGGTTAGGAAGAAGTGCCAGGGATAGTTTCAAGGAGTGAAATACAAACATCTGAACTTAGAATCTTAAATATGAATAAGACAGATAAAGCTGAGGGGAGTTGAAATAGAATATTATAGGCAGAGGGAAAAGTATTAGTCAAACTTTGGAGGTATAAAACAGAATACTGTTCCATCAATTCCTATCAGTCCAAGGGACTTCTACTCGTATTCCTAATCCCTCTGTTTCCCGTAATGCACCTAATATACTTGTATTCCTGCGTTCATCTCCCAGCTCTTCATTACTGTCCATTTCAGTCATGCCCCTCCTCTATCATGGTTCACTCTGGTGCTCACGGCTCTGCCAGCCCCTTCACTGAGTTCTGTAGAATATACAAACTACCTTACCACTTTAACTGAATATTTCTTTCTTAAAATGCCCCCATCTCCCCGAAGTCTTCTCCAATGGAAACTACTTTCACTTGCCAGGATATAGGAAGCTGACTAATTTATTTCTGGTGCTATCTCCAGGCCATCCTTCTATCACCTAAATATATCACCTCTCTCCTGAAGCCCACTCCATCCACGTATAACACGAGTATGCCATATCCTTCTCACATCCATAACAAAGCAACCTTAAGGACGCTTATCCGTCTTGTAGCAATGATTCAAGGTTCTCTTTAGTACTAAGTTGCCTACAATTATCTACTACATCTGTCAGTATCAGAGAGAGCAAATTAGTATGTCTAATTTTTAGACTTATGCAGGTCAACACAGCATTTTTTAAAAATTTAAATTATTTAACAATGTTTTAAAAATTAGATTTCTGGGCCGGCCCAGTGGCGCACTGGATAGTGCGCCGCTTGGGAAGTGCGGCGGCGCTCCCGCCCGAGGGTTCGGATCCCACATACGGACCGGTTCCCGCTCACTGGCTGAGCGAGGCGCGGGAGCAACGCCGGGGCGTGCGCCCCC